AAGGTTAAGTTCTTCCGTGGTATGCAGGACCAAGATTGCATAGTACATCCTCAAAATCAAACCAGTGACTTCATGACAAATTATGAAGTATAAAATCCAGTAAAATACCAATGTGACAACCGCTGATTTAAAAGCAAGGATACACCTATCGTAACAAAACCGAAATTAAACTATTTTCACTTGTGCATGTAGATTTAATTTTGGGTACTCAAATTCAGAAGTGCATAAGTACCCAGTAAATTTTAGCCTTGGGAAGTCTTGTTTACGCGGCGTTTTTGGCGGGAAAATTGAGTGGATTTCATTATGCACACGTGCGGTACATTCCAAAATGTGTTCACTGAGCCAAACTACGGATATTAAAAAAAGTGTTCCGTTTTAGCAGCGAAATTTGCTCCTCTGGCTTTTTTCAATGCCACTCAACACGGAAGAAATACATTCAGTGCCTCCCAAACCACGATATTCAAGAAAAACTCCCTATCAAAAATTCAAGCCCTATTTAGTGAAAATACCGTTCAAAACGCAAATTTCTACGGAATATAACGATTAACACAACGAAATATAACGTGGCCTGATGCTACTGGTTTGTTGGAAGTTTATTTAGGTAGATAGTTTGTTTTCTTACCTGGCAAAAATGACTCTTCTGTGGAGTCTTCCAGCACCACGCCGTCCTTCCCGCCATTTTTCCTTTCTTGTCCAAACTTTATCCTGCCAGTAATTGCACATTTTCACGCTCAAATATCCAAAGAACCGCATAAATCCATCCCGGAAACGTTCCTGTGATATACTGTACACTTTTGACGGATAATTTGCTGACAACAAGCCGAAAATTTACCCCAAACTTTGGAGAGAATGCACGCACAACACGCCGCAAGACAACGTGATTCTCTGCAGTAGAGCGGCTTCTGGTGTTTCGAATCGGTTGCCCATATTTGGGAATGAAGTTAACGCAATCATTGCTTCCAACCAATCAACAACGAGCAAACATAATACGTGAGCCAATCAGCATCAACGGCTCATCCTCGTTGCAAACGTCACGAGAATTCTGACCAATCAGCATCAAGGATACATATTTCAATGTAAATCTACGACCACCAGCGCCATGGATCAAAAGGGACTTCTAGCAGTCGTTGAAATTATTGCAGGAAAAAAATTTCTCAAGTACCTGCAATAATTACACGGATTACACCCCAAATAACGAGGGCGTGTGGGAGTAAACTTGGCAATGAAAGGCGCTGGTCTCGTCAGGAATGAAAAGATAAACAAACAGGCATACCAACAAGCAATTAAGTACTTTATAACAAGTTGGTGAGGGTGGCGGCAAACGGGGCAAATATGAAATGGTAACGCTCTTCCCCAAGGGCTCTTCCCCATCAACCACTGCTTGGAGAGTTGGTGGGGGTTGCGACATATATAAAAAGGTAACCATCTTCTCTTATCAACCTCTGCTTGGAGAATAGCCTCAACAGACTGTTTTAGCTACAGGAAGTACTTGCTTCCACTTAACATACGCATCTATAACGAAAGGTCAAAATAGTTAACGTTAACTGCTTGTTGGTATGCCTGTTTGTTTATCTTCTCATTCCTGGTGATACCAGCGCCTTTAATTGCCAAGCTTACTCCCACACGCCCTCGTTATTTGGGGTGTAATTATTGCAGGTACTTGAGAAATTTTTCCTGCAATAATTTCAACGACTGCTAGAAGTCGCTTTTGATCCATGGCGCTGATGGTCTTAGATTTACATTGAAATATGTATCCTTAATGCTGATTGGCCATAATTCTAGTGAGGTTTAGCGCTTTGAAACGAGGATGAGCCGCTGATGCTGATTGGCTCACGTATTATGTTTGCTCGTTGTTGATTGGTTGGAAGCATTGATCACGTTAACTTCATAACCAAATATGGGCAACCGATTCAAAACACCAGAAGCCGCTCTACTTTCAGGTAAACACGGTTAAAATGACTGATTTATGACGGATTTTCCGACGAACGGAAGTGTTTGAGCCAATTATGTCGCTCCAGATAAGCCACAGAGTTGTTCGAGCTGCCTTTATTGACATGAGGGGTCGATTTANGTGACAGAACAGGCGAAAATGCCCAGTCCACCCGGCTAATATTTACGAACTGAGGGAGGGTGGCTTTCAGCACCAAGGACAGCGCCAGTGGCTCAAGACAAATGGTGGACCTACGAGACCATTGCTGACTACTACAGATCTGGAATTATATGTACGACTGACACCAGTAAGTTATAATGGACTGTTTTTCTACATTTGCATCGTACCCCTTTTACTGGAGGATGGCAGGTTTTATTGCACAACTACCAAACACTAATGTTAGTACTCTTCTGTTCAACAGTTGATGACAGGGAATTGCATATGGCTACTACCTCCCACTGGTGGAATAGACTCTTTAATTATCCAAATTTGCAATAAATTTTGCATACACATAATTAACTGAATAATCCAACAAGTGTGAATGACAATAAATTTATTTGACTGCAAGATGCATTACAAATGTAACAAGCAAGAGGAGTTGAGTGATGTATATTTATGTACTAGTATGTATGTATGTATGTATGTATGTATGTATGTATGTATTGAAGGAAAATGTGCTCAAAAGATACACGAGTGAAACATAAATGAAAGCAATCTAGAACATAGCTCAAAGATGATAACCAGATACAGAATATACATGTATTACATCTATTAGACATCATACTTTTACACAAATATCTCAATTTTTCAGCAACTGAATGACCAAAAAATAAATAAAACAGACATATTCACCACCATAACCAAGATAATTCATAAACAAAGTGTGATGATAAGCAAACAATGTTTAAACTATCCCATCATAAAATGGTTCTGGATTTTCTCAATACCAATTTTGTAATAACCTTACAACATATTCTGTCATCTTAACAGGGCAGTGTTGTCAAAGATTAGATGCCTTTTTATCTGATAGAGAATATGCCAAACCCAATATACACATGGAAAAATTATGAATTGTGTAATACAAGTATCAAGAAGGTGTAGTCTATGGTAAAAAACTAAAAGACTGGAATTCATAAAAGGTCAGCCCTTTTTCTCATGGACAGAGCCAATCTCTACGTGTTTCCTCCTTTTTCCTTCAGTTACATGGAACTGTTTCTGCACTGGTGGCTGGTCCCTCCCACATCTGGTAGCTGGTGGAGCTGTGTGTGGATAAAAAATTCAATCATTCATCAAGAATAAATATGGTGACAAATCCTTAAAAAAAGAGCTAAACTTCAAAGGTTCTGATATAGCAATGCACATTTAATACAAGTGACTAAATTCTTTTCATGAAAGTATGCTACATTATCCGATATTGTGTTTGTTTGGGCAATAATGCTTTAGATAGTTACTACAAACAACCAACTGCTGCCATCTTGCTGAAGGGCTTAGTTATAGTAAAAATGCTACATTGTCGGAATAGAGAATACAAGAATTTCATCATGCAGTGTTGTGAATGATCGATCAGCAGGGGCACATGCAAAAATGAAACATTTGAAGAAAACTGAGGGAGGAATGATTCAAAAAGAGATAAAGTATTAGTATCTACAAAATATAATTCCATTTTGCCTATAGCAGGTCTGGAAATATAAGAATACAGCCCACCTAATCCAGCTGACGATCCAAATGGTTCAAACGGGTCACAATTCTTTCTGCTTCCTCCCATGAGAGGTCGTGCTCACACATGACCTTGCGAATATGGCTCTGTGAAACAGAATTGAAAAAAAATTCTTGTGGCTACCTACACCTGTCATTCAACCTAATGTTGGAAGGTGTTTTTGAGACTTTTCTTCAATTCAATCGCCTTTTAAAGGATAAAAGTGTGGATCAGACACAGTGTTGGTGCGCTGCAGCGTTTTAAGACAGCGTACCATGACGCTTTTAAAATGATGATGAACCAGCCTAGGTGGTGTAGTAACAGTCTGTTGTGTGTACACTTATGTATCAACACCTTCGACACAAGGTGGCGCAAACTGTCCTATTTATTTGTCACGCACCTTCTTGCATTGAGAAACAAATTTGCGTACACGCTTTGTCATTCCCATGTGTTTACACAAAGCCTATACTGGCCACACTTTTTAAACATCTGTATGTGATTTGTACTTTTCTTATTGTTCCTGTTTTTATATGGGCCAATTTGGCTTGAAGCAAAGAATAAATAAATAAAATAAATAAATAAATGAATAACTTATCAAAACCTGGTACTTCTGTCCTTTGTACATGGACCTTACCCACATAAATGTCACCTTACCTCAACATCATGCCTCCCTCTACGCCAGACTCCGTTGGGTATATCAGCTCCAGGGTTCTCTCCATAGATCCTCCCCAGGAAGAACTGCTGAATCTGGTCTTCATCATCAAAAACCTGTAATCATAAAGATGACAGGTAGTATCAGAAAGACAATAGACTTGTGTGCACTGTGAGGCTCCATGTCAAATGTTCTATTGATAAGTTGATAAGTTCGGTTGATAAGATCAAGAGTGAGCACAACACTTGCAAGGTATTCAGAGATGGCAGACTTCATGTCCTTACCCACATTGCTTTGCTTTTTCAGGCCCACAGACATTTAAACATGCATGTTCAAAGAGAAAATCCCAAAACATTATACATTGTTATAAAAGAGGCTAAACCATTATGTACCTGTTGTACTGAGTATTACTATCATTAGATTTTAATGAACAAAGATGAGTAGTAAATACATGTTGTAGGTAAAAATCCTGAATCCAGAAGGAAACCCACCTGGCCAGGAGCAACATTGGCACTTGGAATTCCTGGATTCAGTAGCTAAAGAAAAAAAAATCAACAGATTAGTTACTTCTGGTACATGATACTTCTTTTATAACATACTTCCCAACAGCTAATGCCCTAACATTAGTATATTTATCCAAATATACAAAGCTTTCATGCAATTTTAGGCAATACATTTTCAGTTTTCTAGAATAAGATGCATGAACTATTAAAAACGTTAACTTAATGCCCCACCTGTGTAGGGACCCCCTGCAGAAGTGCTGTTATGATCTTCTGCACCACAGCCCTCTCATCACGAGTCAGATCACTGACTTCTGCACTGAAGTTTCCCTACAAACATATAACATTTTAAGAGTACAATAGTATGCAATATATATGCTTAATGAATATGTAAAGCTATATTATGACATATTCAACGAGCAGCATTTACATGATTATTTTCTCCATTGAAGTTCTGATGATACAAGATACAGATACAAATTTGTTTGTACATGATGTTCTGTTAATCTCATATTCGCTGTTTCAAACTTACCTATTGACAAATTGCTCGATCATGAAAAACAATTTGAGTGACAGACTTCATTTATGTCAATTCAACAAGATGAATGATGTTACTATTGGGTATTATATTGCATACTGGAATTTGCTCTATCTTCACATGTTGCAAAAATTTGCCGTCTGAGAAAAATGGGGGTGTTTGTAGAACTATATGTTCATGGAGGTGGCAGGTGCAGAAAAAAGAAGTTCGGACAAAAATTTTTTTAAATTCCAACATGTAATCAATAGACGTGGTGACGGCACACTCAAGTTTTATCAACTTATATTAATGCCGCCACCAACACAGGGGACAAATACATGACAGGACAAGCTCATTTTCACCTGAGCGAAGTGAGGAAAGTCATGTAAAGTGCCTTGAATCCCAAGGGCACAAGATCGGTGGCATGTCAGGACTCAAACCCGGGACCTCTAGGTTCTGAGTCGCACACTCTGCCGCTATGCCACACGACCCCAAAAATTTGTTAATGGTAATGATAAGTACGTGGTAGAGAAGTGACTGTGAAAACTGCAAAGTTAACATAGAAGTAGTACTGCAAATAAAATCAGGATTACAGTATTACCCTAGCCTGGGTTTTGATGATCGGTGTCCCACTACCATCCACTCGTGCCACCAGTAGAGAGCCAGTCCTCAGCGTGAAGTCATCATGACTCAGTATAACCCACTGGGTGCCTTGTAGTGTGGTCCTGAGGAACACCATCATCAGGTGGTGATCAGCATTGATAGCATTTACGTGATGCAATAGCTAACATTCACTACCTATCTACCAACAGGAGATAATTCTGAGCTGAGATAACACAACCTAATCTAACAAAGTTTTTGACATTAAGAAACTGCAATACAGTTACACATGATAACAGCCAAGCAAGCACTCTTATGCACATTCATGCTGTAACTAGTGTAAGCCTTTTATCCATTAGCAATATCATATTCTGCATCAATGCCATTTATATCTACAAAATATTTGCTTGGGCGAGTGGATTATTTCAAAGAAAATGTTCAAAAGTGGCAATCAGCACCAGGTCAAAATCAGTTACTAGTACACATTGTATTACAACTAACATTTGATTAGAAGCGTTGAATGGTTTATGACCTGAATCTACAATTTTTGCATATCAAGAAATGCAATGGAAGGGTGAGGTAGAAGTGAAAATGGGCAGAGTCAAAATGTATGGCAACAGAGATAAAAAGGACCCAACCTCTACTATATGGGCATTTGCTTGTCTATGGTCTTTCCTTTTCTAATGCCCAATACCTTGTTTTCAAATTCCTGAAACAATACTGACAGGCACAAGAAGTTGAAACATTTCACAACAATGCAACCATCAATAGAAATGTATTTGATCCTGGCACAAGTAACAAACACATGCACAGGACTACACAAGTTCATACTATACATACCATACCACACAACACATGACAGCATTGAACAAGACAAACACATGAACATCACTTTCCTACATGTATCTCTCACAAACTAAAGAAGCAGATATGGGATTTTCTAACATGTTTAAAGTTGAACTATATTTCAAAACAAACTGATTCAAGAAGGAAATGCATGAAACTTGTTAGTACTGACAATTTGATAATAAGAAAACAGATAATAACAGGAAATATATAATTGATTGGATCAAAAGTAATAAAGATGCAAATTATAAGCACTTTTTCAGCTACTAGCAAGGCGATTTAAGGTTAAAAAGAACTGAAAACATCAAGCAAAGCAACTTTACTTACATTTACCCTCCATGTAAATAAAAATGCAATTTACCATGACCATGCAAGCACTCAGAAGCATTAGGTGGAGAAGCATTGCAGTAGTTGAGTAAGCTTTGGTGTAAAAGCTAGCTCATTATATAAGTCTGCAGTTCCCTTGTTGCCTGTAATATAACTGTTTATGGTACCTCTGTGAAAAAGAACACATTTTCAATGTATATAATATAATAAGTACTTCTTTTTTTCTTAAGTATTGTAAATCATGAAACTTTCACAGTGGCTTGATTTTACCATAGAGGATAACAGGAGATTTTCACATTTTTTAAATTCATGTTGAATCTATTCCATAGTACTAGTTATACATGGGAGACATATTTGGGGTGACATGAATTAATTTTTAAGTAAAACCACCATGAAAGGCTCATGATTGATAGGATTCAAGTACAGTAGCAATAGTAGTGATTGGTACTTAATAGCCATATTTACATAATTATAATACATGGCATTTATAAATTACATATAAAATCATGCAATGCTAAATTACATATAGTGACTAGGTAGTCTAGCTAGCAGTCACTGACAAAAAGTAGTGGATAACGGCTACTTGAAACTGCAATGATGATGTCAAAATGAAGTGCTGCCAAGAAATCTTCTTTAAAGAAGTACTGACCTTTTCCTTAGCTGTTGGAAGTACACTCCAGTGGCCTGAGGTCCATACAAGATGTTACGGAGGACGTCATCAATGGCCAGTTTGGCGTGGGCACCAACACTGCAAGAAAAATTGCAGACATGTTAATATCATTTCTTGCATACCTCTAGTTACTTGTCTCAGTATTAATTAATATTGCTTTGGTACATGTAACAAATATCACATCCTATAAAAAAAAACGATATGAGTAAATTAATGGGAAGTGATTGAAAAATGCAGGATCTTTCACAATCTGACAGAGGCAAATTTCCTTGAATAAATTTCAATTTTTGGTACTACTTTTTTCCCTTTGATATGGTTATAAAAAGCATGTCATCACCAATTGAAGCAATATATTCTATCAACAAAATCATTTAAACAATACAATGGGTTTCAACACAAGGGACATACACGCAGCATATTCAACTTTTTTCAGTGCGTAAAAATGACAAGACATAAAGTTGTACATGTAAATACCAGTTCATGCTAGTGGTGTTTTAAGCACTTACTTGTTAGCAGTAAGGACCTTCATGTGTGGTTCAGCTCTGACAGCACCATCAGGATACACCCCTACACTGTGAAGTCTGTCCAGCAGCACATACTCCACTCTGTCCCCCACCCGACGGATCTCCACCGAGAAGGGGGGTGGGGGGAGGTCGGCAGGCATGCGCACGATGGGAGCAACCATGCTCATATCCTCGGTGATGTGACCCAGGTCAAGAAGACCTGTATAGTCTTCAACCACCTAGGAATGATGTACATGTAAAATTTACTGTTAAATCATCTGTTAATAATACTACATTGTATGTTAATCTTGAAATATTCGTGGTGGTTTTATTTTTGCAGATGTCTACCATACAATCATGTGTTTCAAATATACTGTGAATCATTTTAACTGCACACTTAAAACACTGCAAAGGACACTTGAGAGAGAGTTAAATTAGAATGAATACTCTTATAAAAATAAATCTTGATATGTTACTTTGCATAATTTCATATTTGCATTTTTTTTCTGGTATTTACCTCTCCATTCTGACTTGATGCAGCCACATGTATGAACGTGCATTTCAAATATGTCACTACAGTGTTAACTGCATTACTGAATTGTTTCAACTGCAAAATTAAAATGCCGCGAAAATCCACACATATAAGTCTCCACAAAAATAGATGAATTTGCAGTAGTCCCTGCTAGGGCCATGGGTGAATAGAATGTGGCCTTTTCTTTAGATGCATAAAAAAAAAATTCAGTGGTTACAAATAACATATGATCATCTGTTTCACATAACACTGCACAAAGGCTCCAGTATACCAAGAAGTATTTACACGATGCATGCACGATGCTACTTGCTAGGGCCCCAGAAACCCCAAAGGGGGAGGGGGGCATTCCTTCCACTTTCTTTCGCACGAAGGAAATGTGATTGAAAGATTATCATAAGTGGCAATCCTTGCAGGTTAACAAGAGGATAGCCAATGTTCATGTCCAGCAAAGATATCAACCGTAATCTCACAGATGCGCAGAAAAACGGGATCGTCTTGAACTGAAGAGTTGGGCGAGGAAAGGCACATGACGCAAGAGCAGTGATCACGCGCCACGACACTGAATTTACACCTCATTTTCGGTCATTTCCACCATATTTGCCCGACCAAAATAGGTACAAGAAGGCATTAGTACTGCCACGTCCTCCCTATGTAGCAGTTATGACCTTATCATACCTGAATTGGCGAGTTGTTGCAGTTCTCGTGGCCTTCCAGGTTCCTCAGAATTCCTTCTTGCAGCGCCATGATGGTTGCAGCATGTGGGTGTGTTCCCGGAATGACCTCTAACCTCACCAGTCAGCCAATCAAGACTGCGCTACACATTGTACCCGGGGCAACGTGATGACGCAGGTTAAATAGAGGCGCGACCACGTGGAGAAGGGTTTGTTGTTGTTTTGGATCAGAGTTCAAAGAGATGGCCTTTTCCTCCCCTAGTATTTTGAGCCAGTCTAAAAATAATAACATCGAAAAGTATCTAGAATTCTTAGCATGCTTAACGAGCCAGGCTTTTTGGAAACTCGTAACGTGCCTTTCTTCTGGCATATAACTATATCAGTTGTAAATTGTACTTTGTTTCTTGAGGGTTGCCTCCATAGAATGAGGGTAGCATAAGGGAAGTTTTAAATTACTCGTCGCATTGACAGACTATCTTAAGAGCATGTGCCAACTTATGACAAGCAATGGGGATTAAATAACCTGGAAATATTAATATCCACATATATATACCAGCTTAGACAATTAATGCAAATAAATACTAAAGAAGCTCGAAGGGAAGAGATTTGTTGCAGAGCTATCTACCATGCAAAACTCGTGACCCCAGCGTGTCCAGATTACAAGATATCAAAACCGGACGTTCTGCGCATGCTGCAGTAACATAAGGCGCAGCTAGCCTTGAAGATTCCCCGTCTACAATTTCATTTTCTGAAAACAAACGCACATGCATAAAATATAATTTAGAATAGGTTGAGTTATCTTAGTTATTGCCATTTTACTATTATAAGCTCCATAAAACAACAAAGCTATGGCTGTTGTAAATTCACGATGATAATTCTACGTAGCTATAGAGGCTGAACTGCAGCTGGATTTGATTCCCCAACGCTGACATAAAACAACTTTAAAAGTGAGAATTGAAATACACACAGATTCCGCAATGACAGCAAAGATTTATTGAGACAGCTAATCATTGTATCCAAAGGCTTCATTTCAGATGCCTGCAAAACTTTCTTTGTGTTGTATTTGGCCTCTAGTCAACAAATGCACCAGCTTGCGGCTTATACAGCTTTGATACACAAGTACCTTCCTCCACTTGTCTCCCATGAGTTCAATGAATATAAATAGAAAGTCCATGTACAATATTCACAACTATAAAACATTATATACAAAGAATACATCACACATAGCCCAGTACTTTAAGTACATCATACATAACTCAGTACCGTATAAGTACTTCATACATAAATCAGTACTCTTAAGTACGTAATGCAGGTCAGCACCTAAGTACATCATACATAAAGCTGGTGTGTTACGCCGAAAGGCGGTTATACCGGCTATACAGATACAGATACATAGGTCAGTACAAGTGAGCTATTGTGAACAGTCAACTTGACACTGATGTCAAAATCGGCTACCTCGGTATTGCCTCCAAACATCTGCTTGAACTTTACATCAGGGCACATGTCAAACGAAATATAGTTTACTCATGGACCATCCTCCCTAATCTCCAAGCAGATCATACGATGGCAAGGTAGTATCCATTGGTCAGAGGAGTGCCCATTAGCCACTTAAGGTTGCCGTGCAAACTCCTCTGGCCAATGGATACTGTCTTGCCACCGAAAGGGATCAGCTTGGAGATTGCATCCTACCTAAGCTACCATAAGACACACCCCTTGACCATCCTAAGCTGACGTAACACACACGTAAGAGACGAGTTCCCTGAGAATCTGACGGCCTGAACAATATCATAGTAATCAAACAGAGTCGTGTGGAGGAGAGTCGTCAGCGTAGTGTCGACGTCTATGTCCTCTTCCTTCGCCAGAAGCTGAAAGTCAAAGAGAAAAAGTCCCCATGTCATTGATGTGGGATGTAGTCAAGAACGTTATGTGTTAGGTGCACCATATAAAGGGGTTGCTGATCTAGCGGTTTTGTAAGGTACTGCAGTAGGTGCATGGTCTCGTAATACATTTGTATCTCATGTCGTGGGCATGCTAATAAATTTGGTCTTGATTTTTGAGTAAGTGTTTGGGAAATGTCTACCTGGTTTCAAATGATCTGTATGCGCCCACTATTGTCTTATTGTCGAATTCCGTATATGAAAATATGTCAGTCTTCCTTCAGCTTGCACATGGCATTTGCACGGAGGTACTAAATTGTCCAGATACTCAAGAACGTCCTACACTCACCTCTGATAGATCAAGCGCCCGGAAGGCAGTGTGTTCCACCAGGCGGTACCAGATTCCGTCACGTACTGCCGCTATCAGGACTGGGCTGGGGTCTCCGATGTCTGCTGCTGTTACCAGGCGGCGGGCGTCCTCACGTCCAGGTGGGGGGAGCCAGACCATGCGCTCACGTTCCTCAGGTGGAATGCTGGCAAATCCTGCGTTAGCAAGGAGATAATGCAATAGATTGAATAAACAATGTGTACATAGCACCAATATTAATAAAGGAAAACTAGTGTTAAAATTTCGCAAAGGGGATAAATTCATCAATTGAACAATGTAGAGGTCACCTGTATTTTTCATGTAAATTGTCATATTATAAAGGGCTACTACATCAGAATATTAATATCGAATTTGGTGAAAAGAGAAGACGTTAATCTAATGCGTAGATGTCATCCACAACAAGTCAGAAACAGCGTTACGAACTTTTAACCTTTAAAAGATTCACTACCATTTTAGATATTCAACTACATAGAAGTACTAGTATCAACGGCAACAAACCTTGGGCCAGGGCCTTGTCTACTGGACAGTCAGCCTCCTGACAGTCCCTGAAGGCGTGCAACAACAGGCACATCATCTTCCAGTAGAGCGATGCGCCTTTGTCTGCGTCTGTGGCAAAAGTCTGGCTGTCGAGACGGCGAAGGAACACAGGCAGCATCTCAGCTATGCAGTCCGGATCACACCAGGGGAAGACGGGACATCGCCACACCTGCAGAAATCACCATTAAAGTCATTACCTCCACCCTGGAGGTTATGTTTCCAATAGTGTTTGTCCGTTTGTTTGTGGATAGCATAACTCTTTCAGGTATGAATGGAATGTAATGATATACGCTGTGTGGATAAGGTGGCCCCACATCATGTGAAAATAATTAGATTTGGGCCGATAGGGGCCCTCTTTGGTACTGCAACAGCACTTTTGTATATTCTGTTCTGAACATGCTATGCTCATGACTTTTCGCTGAATGTGTATGTCTTTAAGCCTTGTATCTTGAGATGTGATCGTCTATATAAAAATAATGTCATGAGATCGCAGAACTATTTTGGCATACCGTGTAGGACTACTGTATAGCCATGTTATCATTAAAGTGGGACAGATAACTTGCTAGATACATGTCTATAGTACGTATAAGTGTAAACAGTATACAACAGTAAAACAGTGACATGATCCGGCTAGAATTTGCTTACCGGAATTGGAGATGCGGCAAAGGTGGTTGATGATGTCGCAAATTGTCCCTCATGGCTTTCCTGTCCGCTATTCCTGGGTAGCTAGAACATAAAAAGGGACTTTTTCCATTCCTGACTTGTACAGTGCCTAACGTAGACGACATAGAATGCAGTGTGCAATCTCCAATCCAGGATATGATGTAATACAATCGACGCACACTAGGCACGGTGACAGAAACAGTTACTAGTATTAGTATATACCCTCCTTACCTCATCAGCACTTTGATTCTCCAACACTCGAGAAGAACGGGAAGTATCAGGCGACTTTTGCTGAAATATTATAAAACAAAAGAATGGTTAAGACCGAAACCACTATTAGATGCGTATAAGCGTCTATTTCAATTTTACGTTCAAGGGAAAATTTCACATGAATGAAAACCGAAAAAAAATCATTGTCAAAAACCTACCAGGTATTTAAGAGACAGTGTTGATGGCGCTTCCTGCCCAGTCGTTGTCTCCTTGGCAATCTTTGGCACATAAAGATCCTCCAGTTCCTACAGATATTACAAAATACATTTTCAATTCAGACGTGTTCAAGACAGCATTCTCCCCAAGTTTGAATCTTCTGTATGGAAATTAGATAGTCTTATGTTCTGCATCCGTATCTGTGTCGGTATAGCCGGTATAACCGCCCTTCGGCGTAACACCGTCTTTCTCTTATTTCCCAACAAAAAGAACATGAAAGACTTTACCACGTCATCATGATTGGCACATAGAGTCTCTCCATCAAGCATGTAGAAGGGAAGATCACCAGGTTCTTCCTCTGCAACGGGACTGAGCGAGCTGTAGGGAGACATGCTATCCTGAAAAGAAACAAACAAACAAACAAATAAAAAAAATAAACAATCGTCTTATATAATTAGTAAACTTCAAAGTATATCAAGACCTTTTCATGTACAAAGTAAGCTGGTGTGTTACGCCGAAGGGCGGTTACACCGGCTATACCGATACAGAAGTATTTTCACAACCCACCCATGGTTTTTAGAGTTATAAAGACAAATGTATATGGTACACAATATAAAACAGACAGACAGAGACACAACCAAAACACACTATTGGGAAATAAAAACTCGCTTTGTCTGTTTGACAACATTGTACATTTTCCACTCGATTCAAGTAGACTTTCTCAGATATACCATTGCCAAAAACATAGTTCCTTAAACATACTATACTGTAGAATATCAACTATCAATGTAATAATGTGGATGTCAATTTCAGGATTTCTGGACTTACGTTGCTATCAGCATGGTTGAAGAGTTTGTCTTTGATGTACCTCTTGAACGAAGGTGAAACGAGAAGGGGTTGCAACTGTAAATTACAAAGGCGTCAGCAAGTGAAATAGGATAGTAATAAAAGTTATTGATCATTGCTATACTCTAGAGTCTAAAGAGAAGAGAGAAATGTTTGGCAGTTGTGAGAAATGTCATCTACTACAAACATAAGCACCTACATGACTATGTCTTTAAGTTGTATTTATAAGAAAGTATGGATACTTTTTAACATAAAAATATTCCTCAATGATTATGAACGTAAAGCCGTTATATCCATTGATATTTATTTAAGTTTGTAAGCATCCAAGTTACTTGTAAACCCGCAATTATAATGAATATCTATTCATCTCTTCTCATCATGCTTTGAAGTTTCCGACAAAAGTACGCCAGTTGTTCGAAGGATAGTCACAAGGGATCCAAGAGCAACACCATCTATCTCTGAGCCTGAAGCACTAAAAATCATGACCACAGAATGTTAATTAAGAACATAACATTCTAAAACAGGCAGTCCTATAGCAGCGTGATAAAAAGCCAATAAGAAGCCCATATTAGAGTGCGTCCTTTGTTACCAAAATAAACATTTCCTTTACTTAAATATCATAACAATCTATAACTAGCTTCTTGATTCATGTTGTTTAGTAAAAAAAACAAACAAACAAATTACACCAAGCTACCAGAAACACAGCTTAGGCGAAGGTAAAAATACAGTGAAATTCTACAAAGATATTTAGAACTTTTTTCATCAATAATAGACATAGAAACTGTGTACTCACGTCTGAGGAGGGGAGACCTTGCAGTATTCTCCCTACGACTTCGATCATTACATCTATCTCTTCATCACTCTGTATCTTTGTTCCTTTCTTCTGTAGATTCAGACGGTCCTAGAATAACACAAAAAATGATTCCTCGTACGTCACAAATAGTCCATGTTAATTCATGTTTTTTTATTTGGCAACCGCCATCAGCTCATACATTATTATCCTCAGAACAGTGTTCAATTTAAAATTCTATACCTTTCAAGATTGCATCAAAAGAACAAAGAGCTCATTCGCTTTTTTGTGCAGGCTACAGTATTGTCATATTTACCTTGGAGATAACCTTTGGCACGTGTTCGTTGTCCCCTTCAAACACGACGATTATCTTCTCTTGATTGAAGCTGGGACAGCTGAGAATTTTCACCGTTTCCCCATCCAAAGTGTCACTGAATGTTGTAAAATACACCATCCTAAGAAATATATCTCATTCTTTCTACTTTTTTAAACTCACTAAATGTAATTTTCTACTACTTCCTGCTTCTCTGACAAAAAATTTTTTTTCCACATTTACATTCATCTAGGATAGTAATCCACATATAAGGAAAAGTGTGAAATTCATTTGCATCATCGGACAATCACCCAGAAAATACTATAGTATGATTTTTCTTTGTAGTATATTGATGGTCACCCTAAATCCATCTTTGGTGCCAATCATGAAAGCTATATACAACAGACGGTAAATTTAAAGTATTTCAAGCTTGATACATACTACTTCTGAAGCTGGCGAATCCTGGATCTCGTGCGAACTCCTTCTTCCTCCAGAAACATCAACCTCATCTTGTCCTCCATGTCAATCTTCATGGCTTCCCTCCCCATATCGACAGGGATACTGAAGGATGGTATGCACATTTATGGCAAATATAGACATGCAAACATTGAAAAGTGCAGTCCAGTAGTACAGTTGCAAACCTGTCCATATACTCTCCATATCGGGGAATAATGTTTGATAAATGTGCATATGGATAAATTATAAATGACGTTATTTTTTAGTTTCCTTATTCCCTCCTTTTAATACAGAGCTACTTATTACGTACGGGGAAAAATAACATGTCGCCATGTCTGGAATTCATTCTTACCTGTCTATAGTTGTAATTCCAAAATCCTGTGACGTCGAGGGATCCAGATTCTGGAGCTGGAGGTCGAAAAGACGCACGTACCCATCCTTTTCCCAGCCTTTTAGTCTTATCTTGGATGAGAAGGACTTTTCCCAGGGTTTTGAGGGTTTAGTTGAGGTGATGGGGACTTTCAAGGCGACAAGAGATTGAGAACCTTCCAACACGGCAACCGCCAAGTCCCCAACGTTTCCACTGGCATGTGGTGACTCCATCTGTGGTAAACATGGTAGAGCTTTCATGATGTTTTGTGTTCATATGTGGTTAATATCATGGTGAACCAACAATGTGTTTGTATTGCTAAGATAACAAAGTAGACCGGTTCACAGTTGGTCAATGTGTTAAGGCAAGTCAAAAACTTCGTTTAGTTTATTTGAAAAGGAATAGGATATTTGAAACAACTTAATTCGCCCTGCTTCTTCATTTGCAATCGTCAATGCAATTCTACTGCATGCCATGTAGTTTCTGTCACTGGGAAAACTAATAGGAGAGGAGCAGAAAACGTCATGGCCTGGGAACAGTCGTGCTATATACCTGATACATAATCATTCCTCCAGATAAAACTGTTTTGAATTGTGTCAATACTTAATACTAGACGCAAAGAAGCAACCAGTCTAGTCTTACAATGCAATAAACATACTGCAGGCCCGAACGTGAACGACCTTTGACATGTCAATCAAAAGACGATAACAAACAGTTCTTCCATGATGAATAGGTTCTTTCATAATGAATAGGTAACTTGAGCGTGTTTGCCTAGTGGACTAGGGGTCCATTTTAACTTCCTACAATTGCTTAACTTAATAATCAAATCGTTGTCACGCCTACTAAATATATCATAGGTTGTATTTAGCTGTGATATGGCCTGTCATGATCAACTTACATGAAACCTGGTTGTTGTAATCAACGACTACATAAATGAAGGGCAAAAACACGGCCATGATTCAGTGACCTTTGGCAGAAAGACCTTTCAGTTTAGGACAGGTTAAACCTAGTCGTGAAAAGTAACACGTTAAACACTGTAGTTGTACGGAAACACAGTTGTTGAAAGCTTGTTGCCAGTTGAAAGAATTTAGGAACTCGAAGATGATTTCAAACAAAATGGCGCTGGTATTCAACTTTCATTGTTGACACAAATGCATTTAAATAGCAGTCTATTGTGCCATCCCAAGGAGGTTAAACCTCCTAGGTTATACAGACTTGCCATGCGGAATTATACCATAAACTGCAGTATCGCCCTTCTAAGGTATCAAGCTATTTCGTTAAAGCAAGATGCAAGTACACACCAAGCACCATACACATGTTAACGTTGCTGGTTAATTCTCTACGTATATTACAGAGTGGGTACCAAGCCTAGAAGCAGGTGTCATTATCCCTGAAATTACGACCTACAGAACATCACAGGTGGTTTGGCCAGAAAGGGAAGAGCAACGACATTCCAACGGAAGCAACACACCAGATCCCACCATCGTCTCTTTGTCTCTTTTCTGTTTGGCCACGGCGCCATTAAGACCATCGAGTTCTTTTAAGTAAAGCCCAAACCCAGTTCAAGTTTGTTACTAGAATCTGCCTTATGCTCGTTGTTTGAAGCTGAATGTGACTACAAATGTGTTAACGGAGTAATAAGGTTTCACATACGTCGTTGTCGGTGCCCCAACGAGTAGTTTGGACTACTTTTGCGGCCATCTAGCAGCAGCATTCCCGCCAAGAGCCATCGAATAAGGCACAAGTACATTAATGGGTGTTGTCAAATCTCGCGATAAATGGCGAGTTTTTGTTGCAACTACGCAGTAGGAAATTCGACAATGACGACATTAAAAAAATACTCAGTAAGAAATTAAAACATTGTTAAATTCGTCAATTCAGTATTGAAGTTAAGTAATAGTTTAATCGTGTGTTAAACGTGTTTCATTATATTTTAGAAATATTCGCTTGTACAATGTACTATGTGAACTTTATACTTGTGCCCTTTGACACACCTGAAGTCAATGAGGAAGTGACCAAGAAAAACAACAACAATACCAAGAATGCAATTGGAGCCAGGCCGCATGGGGCGTACAAGAGACCATTATGATCGATTCTTGAATTGGTCAATTTTCAAAGCAACGCAATATACGCAGTTATGACAATGGATATTTTGAACTGCTCGATAAAAAACTTCAGGGGAAGTCGTGAACCTTGATTATCCCATATGTCCTGAATAAAGACCACACTGACTCACCTTGCTACACTGCGAGGTTTGTTTGCGAACGCCCACCCACCCCTCCCGCGTTTCCACCGTGGTGATATCACTAGTACGCTGAGAACATCCTCCCATGGCAGGGGCAGCGGCTCCGAATTCCTTCTCCACCCCTTACCCCTGCCGAATAACCTCGCATCTTCTACTCTGCGACCCGATTCCAGGGACACGCTCTCAGCCAATCACGTATCACAGAGAAAATCTTCAACGCACTCTACATTAAATATTTATGAGCTACGCTAGCTATCGGAACCAATCATGTCGACTCTTACATCGGCTGTTCAGTGACAAATAAAAACAAACATGGCGTCGTCTTGGGAAGAGAATTTTGCGATGCAGGCCGCTGCGGGCGTCGGCGGGGCGCTAGCGTGTGCTGGAGGGTGCGCGCGGATCCCGCCGAGCACGGGGAAGGTGCCGGCGCGGAGAAAAGAGGGGGCGGCTCGGTGACTTTACCCCGCACGGCCTCCCCAACGGGCTCATCACCGGGCGGCGGCGGAGTCGCCGGCGGCCAAGTCAGAAATGGGTCATGCCAAATAAGGAAAGCTCATTAATATTAATATTCCTTGGGTCGCAGAGTAGAGGATGCGAGGTTATTCGGCAGGGGTAAGGGGTGGAGAAGGAATTCGGAGCCGCTGCCCCTGCCATGGGAGGATGGCTGAGAATTAATGGATTATTTATAGAATTCTGCCCATTTTTCTGTCAATAGGTTGTTTTGTAAATTCATCAAACCCTAAAATCCAAATCCAAACTATCACCACAAGAAGACAGGAACAGGATACAGATACAAACAATAAGGGGTGTGATACAGTGCGTATGGAGGTTGCATGTGCTTAATTAATCAGGTCCAGGGTCTGTGTCGATTGTGTTGGATAAAAGGTGAGAATAGTGGATATAATGTAGTTTAAATAGTGCTACAATCGGCACTGGGTGTCTCTCCATTTCTGTCGAGTTTCCTCTTCCCGATTGTTTACAGTAGCACACCCTGTGTTCTTTGAATGAAGTGCAATGAATTCTGCACATTGGTACCTTGTTAAAGAAATCTCGTTTATTGGTAATATCTAGGGCAAATACAATTTTTTAAAACAACTGCCTATAATATAGTTATATATACATGTATTTCATGATAGATGCCAACAGTTACTTTTACTCTTTACATTATAGCGGAAAAGTATACCTACATGTAATGTTAATTGTTGACTTAACAGTAACACTAATTCTAAGCAGCATTGCCTTCCAAAGAAACTAGCTTATTGTGTAATTCTCCCATGTTGCATTCCAGCAGTGCCCCATACAATTCAGAGATGGACGCTTTTCCAGCCCTGCCCTGTTGCCACCTGCGAATCATTTCGTAGATTTGTTGGTCCAAATTGGCTCTATTTTCATTCAAAATGTGGTCAATTTCGGCCTGTGTAAGCCCAAGACGTTGAGCTAGAGCTTGCCACTCCTGTCCAAGTCCGCCCACAAGATGCTCCATCGCGCTTCTTGAGAGTACTGTAAGAAACAGAGAATCAAGTAAGACGAAAACTGACTAAATGTTTAAACTGCCTACAAAAATCATTTAATTTCACATTTAATTTTGGAACACCCATTTGCTGTTTTGTTATGTATTATTGTTTTGTATTCTTCTTTGTCGTAAATTTGCTAGAGTTGCCATTCACTGTTTTTGTACCCTTTATGATGTTTATGAAATAAATTATACAAAAATTCATATTTTTTTATTGTACCGTCCTGACGTATTTGCCTTTCTTTTTATCAAAAGAAATTCCATAAGATAAAAAATTGAATACAATGACATACAACTGTTGCAAGTAATTGTACTCATTATTTTACTGTACTGTAAAATACCATATTGTATGGTTCTGAAGGTTAAAGAGAAAAAACTATGGACTGACCATTTGTAACAACTTGTGCTAGTCGCTCTTGGATTCTCTTCCTGTATGCAACACTTGAAGGAGACGTTTCCCACGACGCAGAAGAGGCGATCGAGCTGGCTAGAGATTCGTGTGAGTTCGCCAGCGCGGTGTTTGGAAACTCCATGGAGACAGCAGAACAGCCCAGGGGCATGTGGGTTTTTGGACTGGTTTCCTCTCCATCGTAGGTTTGATTGTGTTCGTTGCAATGTCCGGGTGAAAAATCCCAATCCTACCAAAGAATGAATTTTTCGTTAGATAACATTTTCTTTCTACCGGTAACCCTCATCACGAGTCTGTGGATCAGACAAATCTTTGTATACATAAATACTGTCAAGTAAGAGCTTCCTCAAGGGTGTGGTTGATTGACTTATTTGAATGAATTGTTTCAATATGTAAGAGTAAGTCGATTTCAAATATGACATTTTGTCATCGACGTTGATTATAAGCCCAAATGATTATCAGTCATGCAGTCACTACAGACCATTGGATTTGTCAGCATTGCAAGCACCTCTTTTACATGAAGATATATTGAGCAATGGCATTAATTAGTTGGTGGTCCCATTGAAGATAGTTCCAGATAAGACGACAAAAGAGTTGGCTCTTACCTCGGAACTGTCTATGCTGCAGTGGTTCATTGCTTGAACTTGAAGTTCCTGTGAATGGTACGGTGGTGGTTCATTTGCGCGTGCCTGTAAGCACAATAATTGTAAAATTGTCAGATACATGCTTAACAAATATAATTCATATTGCAAAACAAATCATAAACTAGAAAGGTAAATGCATAATGTTTACCTTCGCACACTATTGCTGTGGTTATTGTAAATTACTAAAAGAAAATGCATATGTGATACATGGTGAGCAGCCCCTCCAACTCTGTCCTGCTACTAAATGTAACAGAACACCACAGGGTGTCTGCTACAACACCAGTTACCATAGTGACAGACGTCTGGTCCAGGTAATTGAAGTTATTTGTTTGGAGAAAAAGAAGAAATAAACTGAGCAAAAACAATATGTTTTCCTGCGAAGGTAAACATAATCACCAAATACACCCATGCGTCACTGCATACCATATTTTCCCCAATTGTTATGAATTCCTATAAACCACTGAAAGGATTGTGACATTAAAGACACTGAAGAAACTGATGCAATTCAGGGCACTTGTGAACAAAGTGATTCACTCCTCAGGTTAGTCATGTGTTTCTGAACATTTCTTTTCTTTACCTCAGTCTCTTTTGGACTTGTAGAAACTTCTGGACATTCGAAGAGTTGGCTTCTCACCGAGTCATGGCATGATGTCTTTCCATCTTCTTGTACAGCGTCGCAGGTTACTGAAAGACAAATCATTTAAAGTAACTAGTCTATGTCACAAAGTGATAGCCACACACCCGATGTAAAGAAATGAAGCATATGGGGATTGTTTTGTCCTATATTCCTACAATATTCACATTATACGGTGAAAGGGACCCTTGTCTTGGTGATTCGAGCTACGAAGAGAAACCTGTGGTAATATATGATAATAATACATGATAAAACCTATAGGTAATATGTTGCACTAGTATACCAAAGATATAACTAACCTTTTCTTTTGAGTTCCTTTGACTTCATCCCAATGTGCTGAAGACGAATGTGAAAACTGACCACAACCACTATCAGTATAAAAACACTGGCAGTCACGCCGATGATTAAGTAGTCAGTCATATCAATTTTGTACATAGCTGATTCAGAGACTGTGGTTCTGCGTGTGGCGTCTTCAATGTTTTTTGGTGTTTTAGCAACTGTCTTTGTTGACGTATACGCAGTTGATGATTCCCACCTCTGCTTTAAAACTCTCCTGTCTGTGGAAAAATGCAATAAGTTAAATGCCATTGACAGTTTCGGCCAAAATACAGAGTTTGTAGTTATTGATAAACTGATAAACATTCATCCTTTTGTGAATGATTGATATCAAAGTTCTTTGTTCACAACCACTTGTGCAACAAGAGCCAACGTTTCGATGTTCGTATGTCATCAAGATTATTGTTTTTAGCAAATATTTATGTGACAATTCTTTGAATTTGCCATCGAAAGGTTGGCTCTCGTTGAATAACGGTTGTGAATAAAGATCTAGATCTTTATCTAGATAGTTATTAAGTTCATCCTTCAGTTTGTAGAATAGAAGGTACCAAGGTGCTGCATTATCTTACAGCCAGGAAATTATACAGAAGTCCTTGCTTACAGCATATGAGGCTGCCAAAATGTAGAATGAAGTATCTTACCTGACTTCATTAAAACGGCATTTTGAGCTCCATGGCTCCCGCTTCCTGTTTCCTCCTCCTTTGCATTTTTCCTATGGTGCCGAGGTCTCCCGGTAGCAGCACTTGTATTGATGCAGATCGTGTCTCTTCTGGAAGTTCCCATCAACGATGTGGTCATGCCAAGAGCGGTACAACTGGAGATAATAACACAACATTATCATTATTTGATGCTACGGCAGATGCTGTTGAGGAAAGTATGGTGGTCACAAGCAAACAGCACTACCGTAAAAACATCTTGTCATCAAGATAAGATGTCCGAAACTGTACGTACAGGCCAGGGAGTTACAGTACTTTGTTTTTTTTTAAATTTCTTTTCAGCATAAGGTTTTTATTGTCCTGTAAGTGGATTCAATGTCCGGAAAAAGTGCTTTGAATGGTGATGGTTCTGGCATGCACGTGAGGGCATATGTAAGGTAATCCATACCCATGTCAACATACTCTATACTTACTTTGTCAACGGACGACAGTGTTGTATGTTGGAATATCTGTCACTAAATTGCCCATCAGGACAGGATTGGCAGCCACCTACGTAAAGAAAAATAGACATTTGTTACATTGCGACTAAAGAAGGTTGATAGTACCAACGATATGAAGTGGCAAAACTGTGGAAGTCCCAAAACATTTGTACAAAAGCCCACAGCACATGTACATGTACGTTCTTGCATATAAAAGCAAGTACATTTAAGATGAAAGGACAGCAGTTACTGCTAGTGCTAGTAAGATAAACATCCTGTACACAAATCGATACCCTTAGAGCGTGTCTAGCTGCAAACAATGCGTGGAACGTTTGTGAAAACTAGAAGAGAATCACTCACCCTTGTGTATCCCCTTTCCTGGTCGACAAAAAGGATTCCGTAGACAAGTGCTATGTCTCTTGTGGAATCCTTTTGCACAGCGACAGGCGACAGGGGTGTCGTCTTCGGAGTAAACGACGTGATTTGGTTCAAGGCAATTCATACATGACGTGTCGTTGTTGTCAGTAGGTGAAAAGGTTCCATCCTTACAAATTTCACATACTGTAGAATTTGGCCATCCCTCAGTACAAGGACTCACCATGAAGTGCCCTGAAAAATAATATCAATAGATTCACTTGATGTTGATTGGATAATTCTAATACTTTTCAATATAGCAGAGTCTATGACAAATTCTGATGACTTCGCCAGGCAAGATCAAGTCCTGGACACTTATCCTTGCAATTGACCACAACGAAGTCTCTGCTTCATGAATTATATATATGATATTTATAATAGAAGACTCGCGAATACGTAAACAAAGAGTACTACATATATGTGAAGGCCTATTGAACGTAATACATACCTGGTTCACAGCGATTACATTCCAGTTCCATAGTTTCTGATGCTTGAACTAGAACGACGACCTGGAAAGAGTTAGAGAAGTCAAGAAATGATGTACAAACTTGGCAAAATGTGTACCCCAACAACACAGGAAATAGGGAACTTCAGCTTAAATAAAAAATTATACGATATAGAAATAGTCTACGACGTATACGTACCATAAAATACAGGAAAACCCCTAGTCGTCCTGTCATTTCGATTCCCCTACTCCAATTCAAATCACATGACTTTGACAATCTTCTGTACTTTAGAGTAAAGACAAACGAAGAAGAACAGGTATCGACTTTAGAAAAGTGAAACACCGGAAGTACCAAGGTGATCACGTAAAGAATGCCGGGTAGCTAGGTGCTTTTTATTGATATGTAATTTTCTTAAGTTATACGCCCCTCTACGTGATGTAAAAATGAATACTTAATTCATGGTTACAATTCAGTAGAAATCTGTAACAAAATAGTAATCATTAAAAGGCAAGTTGCACAACAAGTTTCCTAACATTGTGTTGCGGTCATCGGGGACTTTCCACCTGCGTAGTTAGCTGTTTGCTTTGTTTGTCACCAAACAAAAGAAAAACGTGTTAAGGGTCATCACTCACGCGGGGTTCAGGTGATTCACTCTACAACAGGGACCGATCACGAATTAACAGAGGGAACACAAATTGAAATGAAATCTTGAAACTTCGAATGTATATTCAGATTTTACAACACTAAGATAAAAGCCTTCAAAATGCACTGTTTTAGATTCAGTTCGACTTGAAGTAAAACTTACCTTGGTGTGAGTTTGCTGTGGTCGAATTCGTTTAAATGAAATTAAAGGGGCACGTTTTCAGGATTAAAAAAGAGAGGACCGTAGCAAATTTTGACGATTCCCTTTCCTTCATAGCAGAAAAAATCAATTTCTAGGAGTTTTATGGTCATAATGTTCTTGCATAATAGAGACACGTTGTTGCATCATATGTTTAAGCTGGGTACAAGTAATAGATCTACTGGACGGTCCCTGTGCCAAATCCAACATGGCGAGCGCCTCCGAGTTTTCACTATCAGTGCTGACTCTCAGGGGAGCAATCGAGTTTACTATGGCAAATTCTTGAAGTTACATCAATTAGACTGGACTATAGCTACAGCCAGAAAACAAGGTACATTTGCGTATAGTTTTGTTCCAGGGCTAGATCGATTTTGTCATCATATTTCGAAGATTGTTTCATCTTTATAAATTCAACTAATTGAGTCTTTGTGTCTAGTCTCCGATCGCTAACCCGTCTGAACTACTCTAAAAATTCAAGTTCCAATCGATTAACGGATTTTATTTTCTCGGCAACGTAAAATGAAAAGGTTGTGGCGTCGCCTGGCATAATTTACAGAGTCTCTGGGCGTTTTTCCGTTGAGTTATTAATTTTATAAATCGTTTCCTCGTTACCTTAAAATTGGCAGGCCATGATGGCACAACAAATATCAACAATTAGTGCCATGCAAAGGTCATGCGAATTTTAATAGCTTTTTGCAATTTCTAATCAAATAGGTGAATATATCTCGAGATTTTTTAATCATTCTCTTCAAATTTCATCTGTTCATGCTTTTACCAAAATCATCGTGAAAACGTCTAGATGTTGTGAACATATTGTCGGGCTTATAGTATGTACATAGTGTAATTAACCAAGAATGAGTACAAAACAAATATAGAAGCAATTCATAAACTTCTTGAATATCAAAGAAGAATGTTCTTTCATTCATAGTCACCTCGATCCTTTGCAACCTAGCTGTTAGGTTTTATTTGGATCGGATCCTGATCCCAAAACTTTATAATTTTGCAGATGGCAAGCGCAACAGAAAACAACGTTGTCCTGACTTCAATCATCGACAGTACCCACTTCCTCGGTGCCAGAGTGTCCCATGAGAAACCCCAGGACAGGTTTGAGGGATTTACTGTCCCATGTAACATCATAAAAGGATGGGAACGCAGCTACATACAGCTGTACAACATGCAGTGCTACAGCGTGGAAGATCTTCAGTCTGAGGAGGTCAACTTTATCTCTGGCGACAGGTAAGAACTTCCAATAAACTTATTATTGTTAATATTGTCGTTTAATTATTTATTATTATAATAGCTCAAACCTGTCTAGTATATTGTGACAAGTACCTTAAGGTGTGGTGGTTTGGTAACATATAATTTCCACAAAACATTAATATGAAAGCAAAAGCTTGTGACCTTTTTGTGTTTCATAAAGAAACTTGTGGAATCATGATTGGTAAATTATGACTCATTTTCACGTGGACTAGGTACGCCATTTTGAATTGAAAACGAGGCAGCAAAAACAATTCAGTCTAAAGATGTGTAAAGGGATTACACTTGTCATATTATCAAAGACAATTTACCGGGGGTAAATACTTACTTATACAAATTAACAAAGATGAAGGGCATTTTGGCCTTTGTGTTTATTTTGTTAGTTGGTTTCATTGGTTGTTTATTTGTTTGCTTTAAGACTTGAGGAGAAGGAGCGCCAGGAAGTTGAGGGAATGCAGTGGTACATTTTTCTTGACAACGAAGCACACTACACATCCCAGATCAGGCACATGAAAAAATAGTAAGTCCTTTGATATAGATGCAATAACACGTAATGTAAATGTATACTTACGAACTCTTTTATTGACATAACAAAGTACAGTAACTTTCGCAAGGTCTCCTAGAACTACTGTCTGCATCTGCTATTCATTCAAACAAGTGTATACAAATGAACCTGCATATATATAAGTGTATAGACAAATTAACATACTGAGTTATTAACAATACTATTTCTAAGGTCTAAATATTATTTTGCCTATCTGTACGTAGTATGGGTTGCTGCCCCCCCCCCCAGAATGTATACATTTATACTATAATGTGCACATGTGTGTATATTTATACTCAGTCTGTGTGTTACAGCGGATAAGATATGGTTGCTGTTTGTTAGTATTCGGTATTGACCTCATTTGGTTCAGTACAATATTTTTTACTGTGAGCATCTTGTGTATTATCAATGTAATACCGTGTGAACTAATCAGATTCTATTCCATTTACTCCAAAGTGCAACAGTCGATGGCCAAACAGTCATATCATTGTCCTGCCGAGAATTCAACCACAAGACCGGTCGGCCTATCGTGCTGGTCTTGGGAGAGACACCATTAGTGAGACAGATAGATGAGGTAAGTTTGATTAATTTTAATTGCTTAAAGTCAAATTTCTTTCTGTATGTTCTTGTGTTTTGAAAAATTTCAGCAATTATAAAATTGCACGTTTTTTCTTCAAGTGAATACACTTACTTCTTAACTTAAACAAAATTTGAGAAACAAATTTCACCTATACAGCTGCATTAACTTGATCATTTTCTTTCCCTTCTTTGAAATTTCAGTCGAGCCTTGTGACCAACAAACACAACAGAGGTGACAATCTGACAGCAGATGAAGAAGACCTCGCCATCAGAATGGTAGAGTGCCTTGTGGGAGGGCTTCCTGACTACGAGGTAAGGTGTTCATTTTCCAGCCTGGCTTTTGTATTGAACTTTGAAAAACTGCCTTATTGACTCTCTGTAAAATACCATGGCAAGTCAAAGTCATAATACCTACCCCTGCCTACCGAATTACGTAGACCAGAAGCTGGCTCGTTGCTCATCTAAGTAAGATACCTACAAGTACCATAGTCACAGCCATATCTTCTGATGCTTTTGAGTCATAAGAGCAGTGAGCAAAAAGGCATGTCGCATTTACATATTGGCCACCTTGAGTCATGTAAGAAGTGACTCATCTAAAGAACTATAAGAAATCAGGGAATAGTCTATGAAAGAATTTTAGCTGTATTGTGTGTGAGTAAATACATGTAGGTGGTTGGATGAGAGTGAATGGGTATCATTGCATTGTCACAAACATTTGTAAATTTCCTCTTTTCAGCTGAAGCCTATTCCCCTATCTGCACGCAGAGCAAAACCAAGCAGAGTGCGGAAAAAGCTGTCCAACGGCATCCTTAAGATGGCTTCCAAATCAAAGTGCTGTATAGGTGTTCTTCATTCCATGTTGTGTTATCACTCTAGATGTTCGAGGAAGTATACTGAGATTGAGAATATTCTACTGATTTTCTCAGATTGCAACTCCACAACCGTGCCGCTGTCCTCCATTGCCTGTACCTGAAGACGGGACCGTTGGAAGGATCCTGATCGACTTCTTGAGCCACAGAGAGCAGGGCTGCCGCGGGGACTGTGGTCGGTGCTCTCGCCTCATCGACATCGTGAGGCAAACGGTGGGCTGTCGTGCCATCAACTGCTCACATAAAGGTCTTCTTGTTCAAGGTGTGCTGTTAATCTCTGTCTCCCCACCTATGTATGTGGGTGTGGGTATGCCTGTGCATGTACAACGAAGTGGAGACCATTTAGTGTGCGTGTGTGTGTTTGTTTGTGTTTGTGTGTGGTGTTTGTGTGTGTTTGTGCGTGTGTATCTGTCTGTCTGTCTGTGTGTGTGTGTGTGTGTGTGTGTTTGTGCGTGTGTATACAACAATGTCGAGATCCCCTGTTGTAAAATCCCGTTTTCCCAAAAGTGTTCCCATTTCATAACTGACTGATTTGATGATCGCATGTATAGATGTTTATGATAACGTACCTGTTCGCTTACTCTCCCTCCTTAGATTATGTTAAACATCCATGCACCTACCCTGGGGGCGTGGCCTGCCCCATTCCGTTCTGTGACGACAGCAGACACCTGATATGGGAGAACAAGGAAGAGCTGGGACCTTGGATCATCACCGATGTCGTCGAAAACACCATTCGCACAATCATCTATCCTTGTCAGCCGCCAGCCTCTAAATCAAGTCATCAGACAGACGTGTCAACAAAAAACGGTAAGGATTAGTTTCCATACTATCATCCAATATGAGTTACATATTGTATATAGAACACGCTAGGGTTGCGTTGCTGTATTGGAAGAAGAAATTTTTCTGGATGTGTTAGAGGAGTCAACACAAACCACCTAAGTGGTACCTAGCTTAAGTAGAATAGTGATCACCCTTCTATATCTATAAGGCTGACACCACGTAGAAATAAGAACATACATAGTACATTGAAGTTTGAAAATAAAATGAAGAATAAATAATTTTAGGTGCATGTAGAAAGGCCAGTAATTGACGCTCAAAATGCAATCATCCAAATGCATCCCTTTGTCTTTCATATGAAAGACTTTTAAACTCCAAATAGTGATGATGATAGAAATGTGAAGCATTCACTATGACAATAAAAACATCACATGCTTAAACAACGCTGGTATTTCATGTGCGGCAGGTGACGTGGAAACCCGGCTAGCAGCCCACGACAGGCAACTCGGCATCCACGATGTCCGACTGGCTGAGATGGACCTCCGCTTCCAGATCCTGGAGACAGCCAGCTTTGACGGTACCCTGCTCTGGAAGATCAAAGACTACACCAGAAGGAAGCACGACGCTGTGACTGGGAGAACTCTGTCTCTCTACAGCCAGCCCTTCTACACCAGTAGAAATGGTTATAAGATGTGTGCCAGGGTGTATCTGAATGGGGATGGTATGGGAAAGGGTACTCACATGTCCCTGCTCTTTGTAGTCATGCGGGGGGAATACGATACCTTGCTGCCCTGGCCCTTCAGACAGAAGGTAACATTGATGCTGTTGGATCAGGATCAGGGCAGGCGCCACCTGTCGGACACATTCCGGCCTGATCCGACCAGCAGCAGTTTCAAGCGCCCCACGAGCGACATGAACATTGCATCAGGCTGCCCGCTGTTCGTGTGTCAGGCTGTGGTGGAGGGCAGCCCTTATCTTAAGGACGACACAATTTTCATCAAAGTTGTCGTTGAGACATCAGACCTTTTGGTTGGGCCAAAAGCTACCTAACAACTACAGCTTTGAATCGTTGACGTGGGGTTATATGGGGTAACGGTAGAGTGTTCAACTCCGAGCCAAGTGTTCCCGGGTTCGAATCCCTTCAAGTGCATGTTGAAAACCTGGGCTGACCCCATCTGACCTAATGACAAACGGAACGGTAATATCCTTACTAGGCAGCTTCAGTGCCAGTGGTTGTGGGTTATTGATATATATTGGCCTGGTTCAAGTACTGCAACATTTATTTTGAATATACCCTAACATTTCATCGGCCTAGGTTTATTCGATTCAGTTGTAGCAGTTCGTGGAGAATGAATATATGATAATGTACATAGTTACGAGAATCAAAATTTGCTGATAGAATGGGGAAAGACCATTACAGGATAACCATTTCAGGATTTGGTTGAATATCTTAATGTATTTATATATCATCATACTCTCTGGGAAGGGTTTTACCTTATAAGTTGAACCGTACACACGTTGTATGAAGGTAATTCTAGCTTATTGTTACAGTCAAATACTTGTATACTATTTTGTAGCTTTAAAGTTAAGTTTCCAGGAATACATCAATGTACATATGTATTTTAGTGTTTTTGTATATTATAACTATTACAATAAATCACCATTAATTGTAAATCATGGGGTAGAGTGATACATTTAGGTTGTAGTTGTACTCAATGCTGTGGTTCACACTTATAGTGGTGCATATAGAGCGGCAGTAACTTACAATTCACTAAACACTTACACAAAACAAGCACCCACCCTTAAATCATTTAAAGAGAGACTGATATATGATTAGTACGGAACTTCTGACACTTCACTCCTTTCGAACACTGACCGATTATGATTTAAGTATTTTTTGTTATTTGCTTGATTTGTATATATGGTTTATTACTATTATGTTCAAGTACTTTATTATATATGATCTACCATTCCTTAGTTTGTATTATTTGGAGTTTGACCTCTGACAACTCACCTCTGACTGATCTTATATTTTGATTTATGATTTCTCTATTACGTTTAATTATTATTATTTTATGTTACGTTATTCCATGGGCTTCCTTGGAAATCAGCCCCAACGGCTGAAGGGACCAGCCATGTGTCCTCAAGATAAATAAATAAATAAATAAATAAAAACACAGCCACACAGATTCATTTTTTTATGATTATCAAAGTAAGACTTTAATGTAGAGATCGAGGCTACATAGCATAAACTAGTCAATGATAGGAACAATGTGGGATCACATTGGGATTTTAAGTGATACTCAATGATTAAAATGATTCTGTAACATGACCACATGTCATTAAAACTAGATGTATTCACCACCCACCGTCTAGCACATGTAGGTATTAATCAATTAGATATATATTAGCGTGTACGAAGACATGCACACAGGGCACCGAGAAACAAGAAATATGTAGCTAAGAGAATTTCCTTCTCCACCATCACACACACACACACACACACACACACACACACACACACACACACACACTATATATATATATATATATATATATATATATATA